TGCTGTTGTCAGGTGTAGTGGCCCATGTCTGTAATCCACGCACTCGGGAGGCGGGGGGCTGAGGCAGGAAGATCACTGTAAGTTCAAAATCAGCCTGGGCTGCATAGTGAGTTCAAGGCCAGCCTGAACTACAGAGAGAGAGAGAGAGAGAGAGAGAGAGAGAGAGAGAGAGAGAGAGACCCTGTCTAACAACAAACCAACAAAACACTGTCCGTGCCCCCTCAGCACCAGTCACTGACCTGGCAGCACCCTGCCACCCACCCGTGCAGCTCTGTCCCTGGCTCACAGCAGGTACTTTCTGAGGACTGGCTGAATCAATGATCACGCGAGTGCCAGCTTCTCCACGTGACTCCTTCCTCCACCCCTTTCCAAGCTTAGAGTAACACGCACGGGGACTTGTTTTAGAGGGGTGGCCTTCACAGTCAGTATTTACGGCAGCATCTTTATGCCAAAAGGTGGGGTAAATGCTACCAAAATGTTCTTTAGGCCTTTGGCAATTTTTAGGCAATCCACACTGCTCCATGAAGATTATGCTGGTAGCAAAATGTGTGAAACCAGTAAAGCTTCTAAGGAATTTAGCACATAAAGACACCCAACAAAATACAAGTACTACTGTTGTTGTTGTTGGGGTCCACCCCGGGGTCTGCACATGCTAGGCATGTACTCTACCACTCAGGTAACCACTGAGTCACTTCGAAGTGTACAGGGAAGTGACATTTTTCCTCTTTGAGACAGGTCTCACCATGTAGCCCAGGCTGGCCTTGGACTTCCGGTGATGCTCCTGCCTCAGGCTCCCGAGGGCTGGGATTACAAGAGTGCAGCCCGCGCCCGGCGGTTCGGTGGCATTTGGCACATGCACACAGCCATGGAACTGTCACACCCTCCTTCTCCACTGTGTTTTCATCTGCTCAAGCTGATGCTGCATGCCGGCCCAGCCCCTGGGGCCACCCTCTACTTCTGGTCTCTCCGAATGTGACCACAGCAGGGACCCCTGTGCGTGCCTTTGTCCAGTGCGTGTCTTTCGGCAGACCGCCTGTCACTCAGCACAGTGTTCACAGTCACTCAGGTTGTTGCGTCTGCCTGGATTTTCTTCCTTTTATGACGGAGTCACCCCCTGCTGTGCACCCGCTACTTCTGCTCAGCCAGCACGCATGGGCTCTCCCGCTGCTGTCGCGCACTGTCAGCTGTGTGTTGGGCACAGGGCACATCTCCACATCAACAGCCAAGAGAGGAACGTGGCCAAGGATATGTGCTCTGTGGCCCCGGGACCCCCTTAGCAAGCCTGGAAGGCCCCATGCTGTGGGCCTTGACCAGGGGCTCAGTCGTGTGCACCTCTGTGATGAAGAACCTTCCTGTGGCCCTGCTCATGGGAGGATGAGCAGCTGGTAGGGCTGCTCCCTGGGCTGCTATTGTGAATCTGGGCGCAGCTCCCGGCTGGTCCCCAGCCCAAGCTGCTGAGGGAAGTGTCATAGACTCCTGGACTGGGACCTGCCTCTGTGTCCAATACCCTCCACTTCAACTAGCCTACAGCCTGAAGAGCGGCTTTC